TCACAGTCTGGGACTGGTAAAAACAGTTCAAGTCCTAACCAAGGACCTAAGAGTTGTTAAGGTACCATGTGAACACCATGTTTCCCAGAAAGTAAGACCTGGTCTTATTTTATTTTGGGCCTGAAATAAGCACTAGGACTTACTTTTGGGTAGGGCTTACTGTTACTTGTACCAGCAGGCCAAGAGCGTGTGAGCACAGGGCAGGGCCTGTGCATGGGGTGGAGATGCAACGCAGCAGCGAGAGTGTGGTGGCAAATCAAGTACCGGTGCAGGAGGGCGGGATGCATGCTCTTCCTGTGCCAGGCCAGCCCCTGCAGCCTCAGGGTGGCCATGCTGGGCGGCAGCGGGAAGGGCACCGAGGTGGGAGTGACCAGGCTGATGCTCCTCTGACTGTAGTGGGGGCCTTTGCTGGGGAGGCTGCCTTTCTGACCTGGCTGGCTTGCCTGAGAGGTGAGCAGGGAGGTGAAAGCCCAGGACCAAAGTGACAGGTGGAGCACTGGAGCTCGGAAAGGGAGGCTCAGTGCCCATACCGGCTGCCCCTTTCCCGCCAGAGCCGGAATGCTGCCCCATTCACCATACGTGTTGGTAGATGTTGGCCTTCCCTCCGGCAGGCCTGGGCAGCTGCGGGACAGAGATGGGCCTGTTTCAGCTTCTTGCCACCTGCTTTGCAACTCCTTTGCAGTTCTCTGCCACTATGGAGCTGGAAAGCTTGCCACACCACTGCCCAAATGCCATCGCTTCCCCCAGGAATTGCATGTCTTTGCTTACCTGACTTCCAGCCCCATCCTGTTTCTCCTTCAGACTCCTCTGCTGCCGGATGCAGGGAAACAAAATAAGTTTATGGGGGAGAAAGGTCAATCAATCAATTCCAACTTTGTGAGATCTTTTTTTTGCGAGAAGTTGGAATTGATTGATTGACAGTGGCAGAGAACTGTGACAGAGCTGCAAAGCAGGTGGCAAGATGCTGAAATGGGCCTGTCTCTGTCCTGCAGCTGCCTAGGCCTGCTGGAGGGAAGGCTGACATCTACCGGCATTCTGGCTGTGGCAGGGAAGGGGCAGCCAGCATGGGTACTGATGGCAGAATGCCCACTCGCTTCAGCACCCTCCCTCCCCAAGTCTCCAGATTTATCCAACCGGTAAAGCACAAAACCGCAGCCCCCCGTATTATTCCACAAAAAGAAAGACAGGACTCTTCGCCTCTGCGTGGATTACAGGTCTCTCAACACAGTGAGTGAGAGCAACCTTTACCCCCTCCCTCTCATGAAAGACATGCTAGCACACCTGTTGAAAGGAAAAATCTTTTTGAAACTGGACTTAAGGGAGGCGTATTACAGAATCAGAATTAAAGAGGGAGATGAGTGGAAAACTTCAATTGCCCCTTAGGATGTTACCAATCCAGGGTTCTGCCTTTTGGGCTTCAAGGGGCACCTGCAGTGTTCATGCAATTAATAAATGATGTGCTCCGGGAGCACATATATAAAGGGGTACTTGTTTACCTAGACCAGGGGTAGGCAACCTTGGCTCTTTTATGACTCGTGGACGTCAACTCCCAGAATTCCTGAGCCAGTATGGCTTAGCTTGGAAACCTCTCCTTTTCCCTCAGCATGGCTGGCTCAGGAATTCTGGGAGTTGAAGTCCACGAGTCATAAAAGAGCCAAGGTTGCCTACCCCTGACCTAGACAATATCCTGATATTTACTGAAACAAAAAAGGAGGTTGTAAAATTAATCAGAGCAGTACTGAAAAAACTCCGAGCAGCCCACTTGTATGCCAAGTCATCTAAGTGTGAATTTCATAAGGAAAAAAATTGACTATCTGGGTTATCAGATCTCGCCAAGTGGCATAGAGATGGATCCTGAGAATGTCTGAGCCAATCACTGAAATGAATGGTAGACTGTCAAACCACATTTGAAAGACTGAAAAGATTATTTTCCACAGAAGCAGTGCTAAAGCACCCTGATACTGATAAACCATTCACAATTCAAGCTGATGCCAGCGATGTAGCCGTGGAGGCAGTACTAATGCAGGAGAATGATGAAGGGAAGTTGCAGCCTTGCGCATACACATCGAGGAAACTCAGAGAGACAGAGCAGAGGTGGGCAGTCTAGGAAAAGTAGGCTTATGCAGTCTGATGGGCCCTCCTAACCTGGCGACATTTCCTGAAAGGGAACAAAATCCTCTTCCAGGTATGGACCAACCACAAGAACCTAGAAGCCTTAAAGATGCCTAGAAAACTGACCCCTAAACAAGCGAAATGGTTGCAGCATTTTCACCGATTTAATTTCACCCTAAAACATCAGGAGGAAAGAAGTTCCTAGCTGATGCATTGTCCAGGTTCCACAATCAACAGCAATAGAACAGAGATAAAAGACCCACTCATGCCATCAACACAGTTGGCAGTGCAAATCACCACCTGAGCGCAAGCCAAAATCCAGAAACCTCTAATGAGCCAAGCAGGGATTGAATTCCAAAAAGTGCTACAGACTGACAAATGTTTCCTAAGCCACAAGAACCTATGCACCATGACTGATGGACTGCCATGGGTGGGAGGGATACTGTACATTCCCAAAAGCCAGAGACTGACTTTTATGCCGCTATGCCATGACTCGAAATCAGCTGGCCATTTCGGGGTTGTAAAAACTTTACACCTAGTGAAACAGCAGTTTTGGTGGCCGTTGATAAAAAAGGACATTGAAAACTACCTGGCTAGTTGCCCGATTTGTGCTGCAGCTAAGAGGAGACAGGGGAAAACCCCCAGGCTTGTTGCAAACAGTAGCAACCCCATCAGTGCCTTGGAAAGAAATTTCTATGGACTTTATTGTGGAGTTACCAGAAAGAGGGGGGAACACAGTTATTTGGGTTGTGACGGATTTATTCTCTAAACAAGTACATTTTATCCCGTGCCAAAAAATCCCCAATGCAAAGATACTTGCAAAGTTATTTGTTCAACATATTTATCAACTTCATGGGGCCCCACAACGAATCATATCAGACAGGGGAGTACAATTCACATCAGAGTTTTGGAGAGCATTCCTGAACTTTTGGGGACCACTCAAGGGTTGTCATCTAGTCATTATCCGCAAATGAATAGTGGGACTGAATGGTCGAACTCAGTACTGGAACAGTACCTAAGATGTTTCATTAATTACCAGCAAGACAATTGGACGAAACTACTTCTGTTCGCAGAAATCACTTATAACAATGCAGTACATTCCAGCACGGGCTACACTCCTTTCCAGGTGGCAATGGGACAAAGTTTCAACCCAATGCCTGAATTACCATCGAGCGAACCGACTATCCCTTCCCTGAAGGAAGGGATTGCACAATTACAAAATACCTGGCCAGTTGTAAGAAAGGCTTTAGACAAGGCTACGGAAGCATATAAATTCCACGCAGATAAGAAACGAAGTGAACCCAAACCATTTCAAGTAGGAGAGAAAGTTTATCTGTCAACAAAATACCTAAAATCCCTGCAGCCATCAAAGAAGCTGGGGCCAAAATTTGTGGGACCATTTTCCATTAAAATTTGAAATCAAGGATATTCTAGATTCCAGGAAACATCATGGTTCCACCCAATACCTAGTAGCCTAGAAACATCTGCCTCTTTCCCAAAACGAATGGGTTCAGAAATGTCACATTAGAGTCCCCAAATTACATAGTAAATTTCATGCTGCATATCCACATAAACCAGACTAACCTTTGTCTACCTCTTTCTGTTTATTTACAGGTGGATATGTCTTTTTTCTAAGGGGGACAGCATGTCAGAACCCATTTTCTTCCTGGCTGGGATCTATTTCATTTCTCTTTATTTCTTTCTTATTTCTTTCTCTGGGTTCTGCCAGAGAATTCTTATTATCTGTTTCCAGGCAAATGCAATTTCCCCCAAATGAATGCTGTAATATTAATTAATTAATATGAATGGGATGCTATCTGTAATATACAGTTAATTAAATGCACTAAATTATCATATAGTTCTTTATACACCTACCCAAAATAAACTATTATAGAACACAGAACATAGAATAATAGATTTGGAAGGGACCTTGGAGGTCTTCTAGTCCAACCCCCTGCTCAAGCAGGAGATCCTATACCAGAGTTCCCCAAACATTTGGGGTTTGTGGCCTGGAGCGGGGGGAAAGAAGGGATGGTTTTGTGGGAGGAGTAAACACATGCACACGTGTGCGTGTGTGTGTGTGTGTGTGTGTGTGTGTGTGCACGAACACCTGTTGCTCATGTGAGTGGGTGACACTGGTGTGAGTGGGGCCATGAACACCCATGATGCTTGTGATGATGCTCATGCAATCACCTGCGACAATGCTTTGGCGATGCTCACGTGAGTGGGTCTATATGCAGATTCGCACACACGTGCATCAACAAGCCACTCATGCAGTCCGGTGGCCTGGTAGTGGGCCATAGCCCACAAGTTAGAGATCCCTACCCTATACCATTTCAGACATATGGTTCTCCAGTGTCTTTTTGAAAGCTTCCAGTGATGGAGCACCTATAACTTCTGAAGGCAAATTGTTCCATTGGTTGATTGCTTTAACTGTTAGGAATTTTCTCCTTAATTCTTGGTTGCTTCTCTGCTTGGTTGGTTTACATGCATTATTTCGCATCTTGCCTTTTGGTGCTTTGGAAAATAGTTTAACCCCCCCTTGACTTTGTAAGAGCCCCTCAAATATTGAACACTGGTTCAATCTCTCCCTTAGTCCTACTTTTCATTAGACTAAACATATCCAATTCCTGTAAGCATTCTTTATATGTTTTAGCCTCCAACCCTTTAATCATTCTTGTTGCTCTTCTCTGCACTCTTTCCAGAGTCTCAACATCTTTTTTTATCGTGGTGACCAGAACTGGATGCAGTATTCCAAGTATGGTATTATTAAGGCTTATAAAGTGGTACTAGAACTTCACATGATCTTGATTCTATCCCTCTATTAATTATATTTTTAATTAATAACATTATATTTTTATAGAGTGGGAAAAAGATATCTTACTTACTGAGGTTCCATTTTAGACCTGTTGTTGTTACACATTCACAAGGATTCCCAACTGGAATTAGACCACACCACTTCCCTTCAAGTCCTGTGTTCACAAGAAGTTTGTGCTTACCCTGTAACACAGAGAGAATGCTGATGCAAACACAAATGCTATGTTAAAACAAGTAAAGCAGACACAAGCCAAATCTGAGACATTAAATTATGTTATAGCGTTTTCTTCATTCTTTAGATCTATTCACATTTACTTGAGCATAGGTTTCATTGAATTTAGTGTTGCTTTGATTGTTCAAAACAGAATGTACATGAAATTTGCACTTTTACAAGAATATAGATGAAATATGAAAAGCTGTTCTTTGATAAAATATTAATGTACTCTTCTTAGAAAATTTTAAATTTTCAACCTGAAACTCAAAATCAATTTAAATTATCATAGGTTTTGATCTAATCTAGTTACTGAGTGCATTGTGGATCACCTAGATCAAGCCCTAACCCAGTCATTGTCAATCAATTAAGTTTCCAACCTCCCCTTTGCAGATAGTTGGGGAAACTAATAACAGGAGAATATTTGCCTTCCAGAAAAGAATTGAACCACAGAAGATGAACTTTTTGAAATGTGGAAGCATTAGGGTTATACAACTTTAAATGAAATGAAATGGATAACTGGCTATTAGTCATGAGTATCAAGAATCTCTGGATTCAGTGGCATAAGATTTGTGAGTATCAGTTGCTAAAAGAAAAATAGGGTAGGGTATCTATAATGATTTATAAAACTTATTTATTCAATTTCATATCTAACTTTAATATCATAATTTTCCCAAATAACTAAGCTTATGAATTCCTCTCTAGAATACCCCTCTTCATTATTGCAACAAGTTATTGGGCTAGATGAAGGTTTGATCTGATGACTCATTATGAATTTCATTAAAACCATTGGCTTCAGGTTCAAAACACATGACAAAAAATGACAAAGACAATTGGATGCAAGGAGTCAAAGGTCCGTATTGTGACGCACATTTTGTCATTTAATCTAACACCCAATTTGGATTCCAATGAGCTTCAGGTTGCATATGTTTATATAGTCCTCTCTACTCAAGATGATTTTAGTTTATTTATTTAAAACATTTATATAGCCGTCCTTCTTTTAAGCATCTGTAGGCAGCTTCTAATCAAATGTTAAACCAACATATAGAATCATATGAAAACTATAAACTAAACATATGAAAACATTAAAAAGACCTGATGCCAAGTCAGATTTCTAATGTGCAATTATTCAGACTTATTCCAGCTCTTACAGCAAAAGCCAGGTCTTCAAAGCTTTACAGGAGGTTAAGAAGGTAGAGGTCTTCCAAACTTTATGGACCACGGCAAAGGCATGCTTCCTAGCTCTCATCAGATGGCAATATTTAGGGAAAGGGACTAGGAGCATGTCCACTCTATACGACCTCGTAGGATGGGTAGATGTCCTTAGGGAAAGCCAGTCTCAAAGATATGGCCCTGTACCATATTGAGCTTTAAAGGTAATAACCAGGATCTTGAATTGTGTTCCAAAAGAAAATGGAAGTCAGTGCAGCTTGTGCACAAAGATTTTACATGAGGAAACTTTGGAGTCCCCATTACAGTGTACATGTCTGCATTCTGGAGCAGTTGAAATCTCCTAGTGGTCTTCAAGGCCAACCTCATATAGAGTGCACTGCAATAATCCAAACGGGAGGTGATCAAGGCAAGAGTGTAAAGGTTTTAATGCATCTTATTTTATATTTTGGATTGTAGAAAGTTATTACTTCGACTTATTTGTCCATTAGAACTTTCATTTAAATTATTTAAAACTTATGAAAAAAGAAGTTACAAGGCTATCCATTTAAAAATGTTGAAATATTAAGTACATGTTACAAATCTTTGTCATTATAAAAAATAGAATTTCAAAGGTAATTTTTTTGGTGTGTGTGGGGGTTTTCTTGCCTCAGCACAAGGATGGCTGCACTACAAAAACTAATTAGGTGGGACTTCCGGTTAGGTGTTATGGTGTGACGGACATAGGAAGACAGGGCTCCATCTTCCACGTTTGATTTTGCCCTGCTGGAGACCCTAAAAAGTCATCCTGAAGAGGTGACAAAGAAGGAGGGGACCCTCATCGATTGCAGAGGGGTGGTGACCCTTCCTCTGGATCCAAGAAAGCCTTCCAAACTGGTGGGGGAAAGACTGGCTACACTCATGTGGCCAGTCAGAAACTGCTGACAACCAAAGATAAGCACTAACTAGCAATTTTTGAGCAATGTGGATGGAATTGGGTGAGACTTTATCCTCTTTTATGACTTTCCTGGAAAAAAGAATGCCCAAAGCAAAGAATCCTCCCCCAATGAGAGAGGGAAGGGAAGTTTTTGCCCTGCTTCCTCAGGAAAAAAAAAGTGGCGAATTAATTGCTTGGGGGGAAAATAGAGAAAACTACAAGATCAATTTGGAATTAATACAGATATATAGCTTTGAAATTTGGAGACTAAAAGTACCTTTCAGACTTTTTTTTAGAAAAGATTTGAAACTCTGTAAAATAGGCTTGGATTTGGAAAGCTGGCAGATGGTGTCAATGACATCTAGTGGCGAATCATGGCACTACAATTTATTATGGTTAAAGGAAACTTGGCTTGAAGCCCGGACTTAGAAAAGACTCTTTGTTGTTCCTGGAAACTTTCACTTTTGCAGATAGCAGCTGGAAAAAGGGAAAAAAACTCTTGGGCTGCTTATCTGTGTTGGGGTCCCTATTGGACTATAATGACTACATACAAAAACAAAATGGGTGTTCCGTGCTTAGATGCAAATGGTAAAAAAACAAGTTTAACACTTGTCTCCGAAGCCCCCAGCTTGATATACCAACAAGAAAATGTTAATGAATCTCAGAAGGAAATTCTTTCTATGTTGAAATCAATCCAAGAGACAATTGTTTTATTTCATGATGAGACTAAAAATAACACAAATGAGATAAAAGAACAATTTTCTAACCTAAACTTACAAATTCAGACAATGACTACAAAGAAGGAAACCCAGAAAACAGAAGGAAAATTAGAAGAAATGGATCCAAAGATGGAGGACCTAAAGGAAGAAATTAACAGACAGATACAGAAAAATGAAAAATTAGAAGATGCAGTGATAACACCGGAAATGGAAAAGATATCTTACTTGTCAAGATCTCAGAACACATCTGAGGATAAGGAAGAAGAGCTGATCGAATGGATGATAAAGCTGTTAGGAGAAATAATGAATATTGACAAACAAGAAATGAAAAGAAAAACTGAAGGAGGATGGAGGCTGTTTAATGAATATAAATGGGTTGAGTGTTCTTCCAAAAATACTTCAATCAAATTCTCTTCCTCATTCCAAACAATATATACAAAAACAAAGAAAAAATTACTTGATGATTCAAATGCACTGACTTGGAAAGTTATTTGGCAAAGGAAGAAAGCTAGAGTAAGACTGAAGGAAATAGAGGTTTTGACGTATAAGATGGGATATTATACTATTAAACAGATGTTTGAATATAGTTAAGAAATAGATAACTGTTAGAAATAAAAGTATTATTATAATTGGAAGGATGGGATTTGTAACTAGAATATTATATTTTGTTATTAGATGGGAAATATGAAAATTCTAAAAGGGTTTGAATAAGGGAAGCTTTTGGTTACCCAAATATAATTTATTATGAGAAAATTATAAGCGACAGAATTATTTTGAACATTGATAGGAAATTAAAATTTTAAAAAAGTGGGAAAAATAGGATATTAATTGAACAAATGGATTTTAAGTGCAAATGCAATTGAGATATGTTCTGGCTAGAAAAGATATTATTACTGACACTATAGATATTATGTATACCAGAAAAATGTGATGAAGATGTCTATATTTAATTGTATATGTATTAACAGTAACAAGAATAGTATTTGCCCAGTGTGAAAACTGCATACCACTGGAAGAAGAGAGGACCAAGGAAGCACTGGATGGTGTAGTATTGAAACTAGATTTGAGAAAGTTAATATGTACCCCTGAATTACCAATGGACCCAGACAACATGTTGTTTATTAAGTACTTATGATTGTAAAATTAGAAAATTAGTAAAATATTTATAAAAAAAACTAGTTAGGTGGACCATATATAAACATCATTCATAAGGTCTAACGCCTATCACAACAATGTAAATAAATAAACAACCTAGGTTATCTAGATTCACAAGTGCAGTTATGTACCAAATCTAATCTGGTGCTCAGCTGGCTCTTGCATAGAAAAGACCTCTCTCTTGGACACAAATAAAGCAAAGTGATTTGATGTAGATTCATCCTTTAGCTTTAAACTTCAAAAGAGAGAGAGAGAAAAATAAGTTGAGGAAATATTGACCATTCTCTTTTATGCTTTAGCCAGTTCCAAATTGGCAAACACAAAAAAGCTTTAACTTTTTTTCCTTCTGAATCCAGATCTTTTTTCTGACTATGCTTTTATAAATGCTAATAAAAATCATGTTATATAATATAACCATATTTTTATCTTGTTAAATCTTTTTTTTTTTTTTTAAAGCACAACAACTTGATCAAGCAGAAAAAATTGTAGTTGTAATAGGGGCTGGGCTGGGATTTTCCTCTTCAGCATCAGCTTGGCTGGCTAGTACTTATTGAAGGACATGATACTAGTTAATTCTTTTATGATGTAAGTATTTACATGTATCATTTGGTTGGAATAATTTCCCCTTATATATAAGCAATAGGCAATTGAACAAACTAGATGGTGCCTTTACAACTGAACAGCTGAGGACATTGGAAAGGCAAAGAAGTGGGCCTGTTATGCTCCAGTTTCTCACTGATGCAAAAGCAGAAGTGCAGTGTCTTCCTGCTTTACATTTAGAATAGAATAGAGCTGGAAAGGACCTTGGAGGTCTTCTAGTCCAGCTCTCTGCTCAAGCAGGAGAACCTATACCATCTAAGAAAAGTGACTGTCTAGCCTCTTTTTAAAAATCTCCAGTGATGGAGCACCCTCGATTTCTGGGGGCAAGCTATTCCACTGGTTAATTATCCTCACTGTCAGAAAATTTCTCCTTAATTCCAGGTTGCTTCTCTCTTTGATCAGTTTCCAACCA